CAATTCTCGAAATCACACCAGAGGAAATGAGGCATGCCATGAACGTCAATTGTGAATCTCCCTTCTTTTTGACCACTGCGCTCTACCCTTTTATGACACCTGTCGATGAATCGGGTGTGTCGGGTCGAGTGCTACATGTTTCCAGCGGTGCTGCCCATGGCGCGCCTCCATCTGGTGAGTTTTGGAATTACTGCAGGGGGATATCATTTATCAAGACTATGTAGAATGCACCTGACTGACTGTTTCCTCTCTGCTCTTGTACCAGGTTGGACCTGCTATGGGCTCACAAAGGCTGCATTCTTTGCCAGCTATAAGATCTTGGAAAGAGAGTTTCGGGAATCCTTGGGAGGAAAGGTGGTGATTGGAACCTTCAAACCAGGTGTCGTAGACACTTCGATGCAAGGAACGATTCGAGAAGCACCCACAAACTCGATGCCCGTCGTGGGCAACTTTCAAAAAATGAAGGAGAAAGCTGCAAATCACGCAATGGCCAACAAAGCTCGCCCCCCACCACCAGGTGCCCTGGACAGCCCAGACAATGTAGCATTCTTTGTGGAGTATCTGCTGTTGGGTACAACGGATGAGGAGTTTGCCAACAAAGATGATAGCAATGAATACGACATTCGGAACGAGGATTTGTATCCTCATTGGATTGAAGAGGAAGATCTCAAATAATAAGAGGCGGCAGCAGAACGTTTGCTTAACGAGCTCTATCATAAGGCTGTGTTTGGTCGCAGCATTGGTCGGAGATAACCAACACCTTTCCTCCTCTTAGAATTTCAATCCGTCATCTGCTGTTGCCTGAGGACTAGAAATAATAGTGTGCCTTTCACGCCCAGTGAACTGGATTGAGGAGAAAACAGGCTACCAGGTAGCTAATAATAAAATGTATGGTGCTCCTAGTAATCAAAAGTCAGCACTGAATCCTTTGCAGGCTGAACTTCAAAAAGACAAATTTCAAATCCAATCAATGCGAGAGTCATCAATACATCACGCTGTGTTTTCCTTTGTTCCACAGCCACCAGCTCTTTGGTGCCTTCTTGTCGAGTTGTTGCCTCGATTGCTCCATTGTCTGGGTTTTCATTGCAAAAGCCCATAAATCATATTGAAAAATCTTATCTGTGGCGGTGATTTTGCACAGTGTCAACATAAATGGAACATATTGCACATCGCCAGCACATCCACAAATCTGGGCTCGATTGTCCCGGCACTGTGAATCAGATACCGAAGTTGCTTTTGGGGGCCACCATTATTGTTGCAAAGTTGCGAGACCTGGTCCACTATCTTCTGACGTCCTTCGGAACTGCCAACGTCCGCTTGCAAAGGAGTGATTTTGGGAGAAAGACCGGCAACATCCGTTTCCTTGATGGACCGAGACACGGCCAGGACCTGGTCAATGAATGGGAAGGAAGCAACCTTGCTGGCCACCGACAGACCGATACCAGACCGCCCACCGGTAACAATTGCAATGGACTTGCGGCTTTCAGCAAGTGCCTTGGCATAAGCAGCTCCCGTACGAAAACTCATGGTACTGTAGATAAAAAATGAGAGAACAAGAAGGTGCTGGATCAGTGCAAGACGATTTGGTAGTATCACAGCTCTGAATGCCAATAAGACGAGGAATGGAAAAAGGGGAAGGCTGGCCTTCGACTTTCGATCTACGTGTAGAAGAGGTGTGGTTGTGTGGTTCTTGGAAGTTCCCAAAAGCGTGACTGATGCTGGTCGACCAAACCAACCGTCACAAAACTCCGTTTTCCAGTGCCTGGGCACAGTCAGGATTATATCACAGAGTAACTCACCCCGCTCTCGCCTAAGTAACTTTCTGTTTTCGTCCACCTGACTAAAACATGTTTTCGTCACCTTGACTAAAACTAACATTGACCATCCTTCCCAAAGCATGTTTTAGTCAACAAGTCTAAAACCTGTTTTAAACCTAACGACCGAAACGTGTTTTAGTCCGTAAGACGAAAACAAATCGACGCTCGTTCGCGTGCGTTATGCCAGCGAAATGGTCATAATTTCATTTGGATTGGATTTGGATTCACTCCACAAATCAACCCACATCCACAACAAGAACAACCTCCCACTCCATCCACAGCCAAATCTCCACATCTATCCCCCCTCTGCACTCCCCACAGCCCAAGAAGACACACAGAGAGTCTCCTTACCATCACTGCCACTACTCCAGCACAGATCTCTAGCTAGAAAGAGCCCAAACACAAGGAACAAGCCTGTAAGTGCCCGGTGCAGTTTTTCACATGTTTTCGTCTTACCGACCAAATCATGTTTTCGTCGTATTGGTTGAAACAAGTTTTCGTCGTACCGACCAAATCATGTTTTCGTCGTATTGGTTGAAACATGTTTTCGTCGTACCGACCAAAGCATGTTTTCGTCCTGTTGGTTAAAACATGTTTTCGTCGTGTGGGTTGAAACATGTTTTCGTCGTGTGGGTTAAAACATGTTTTCGTCGTGTGGGTTGAAACATGTTTTCGTCGTGCTGACCAAAGCTTGTTTTAGTCGTCCCTACCAAAAAATTGATGCCTTCCTGTGATTATCTTAATGTTGAGGAATATTTCTTCAGTCTCCTGATCCTCGTTGTTGACTCATACTCTTTCTCTTTTCTCTTCCTGTTCATTAGACTGACTGCCGATTGACATTATGTCTACTTCAAAGAAGGGCAAGGGTGGTCGTGGCAAGCAGAACAAGTCTCCACAGGCAAAGTCCAGTGAGAAGTCCGTCAGTCAGAAGGCTAGCATTCTTGATAAGAAAAGGAAGAATGTTATTGGTGCATCCTATGCCACTCATTGCTACATGATCGGAGATCAATTGATCCCATTCAAATGGTACTTTGATGATGTGCCAGCACCTCAGCTTAATCCCCCCGAAGAACCCATGCCTGAACTTGGTGCTGTTGACAATGGCGAGAGACAAGAGACGAAGTACACCCAGTTCCTGAACCACAGCAACGCTTCCTTCTATCACCGATATTGTTTATTGGAAATAGCAAACCCCGATACTTGTGCGGTGTTCGAGCAGAGATATGGACAACTTGAGTATGTGATCGCCCCCGTCCATGATCAAGTCTGCCGAGAAGTGATTTCAGAGTCGAACTTGCAACCGCTGTTCACTGTTGGCAATGCCACAGAGAATGAACCCATTTCTCTACCCCATCAGATCATTGTTGAAGCCTTCTTCTTCAAGAAGAGTTTGAAGAAGCGCAGTAATGAGTGAATCTCGCAGCTTGCTTCAATTCTTCTTTGGAAAAGGATGACAATGGCCGATTCTGTTCTGAAATTGGAATCCTCTTGTGATTGTGACAACATTTTGACTTTTCTGTGAATCTAATGTACCAGTGCTTTCCTGGAATTAGAACAAGGAGGAATCGGAAGGGACATTTTTTTCCACTAGGTGGGAGCTGAGTATAAGTCCTCTTGGCTTCGCTTCTGCCGTGATGGTGGTTGGCTGCATCTTTGTCCACAAGTCTGTCCACACGGATGTTGTCCTTGTACAGATCAGCGGCTTTGCTGTTTGCGTTCTCTTTTCCTTGGTAAGCGATCTTGTCTCTATAACTCGTGGAGTACTTGCAGCCAATGTAAACATTGTACCTTTCACCAACCTTCTCTGTTTTGATCACTTTGATTTGTGTATCCTCTTGCATGGCTGCTTCATTGATCCTCTTCACAAGACTTTTGTGGTAGTCAAAGGAGGGTTCATAGACATCTTTGGGAAGGATAAGTTCTCCACCAAGTGATTTGGAGCCAAAAGCTGTGTCATACTTGAAGACTTGACACAAATTGATCTTATCTTGCCCTTCAACATTGTCCAACAGAATCTGTGATGGTCTCCATGAGTGCTCCCCCTCCTGCAAATCCCCATGGAGGACTGCTGGTGGCAAGTTGGCCATAGGTTTGATCGAGTTGTTTTGTTTGTTGATGTTGCCTCAAAGCGTATTGTGTGTGCTGCTGAAAAAACATGTTTTGGTCTCAGAAAGAAACAAGGCAAGTGAAACTTGACAGAAAGAAAGAGGAGTCAAGCCAAATTTTCGTCTTTCTGACCTGTATCTGTGTTTTGGTCGTCCGGACTAAATCATGTTTTGGTAATTGGGAATAAAACGCGTAATAGTCATTAAGGTTAAAACAAGTTTTAGTAAATCGGAATAAAACAAGTTTTAGTAAATCGGAATAAAACAAGTTTTAGTAAATCGGAATAAAACTTGTTTTAGTCATTAGGACCAAAACTTCAGTTGGGTTTGCAAGCGGGGTGAGATACTCTGTGTTATAATCCTGATGTCGGCTACGAATCCAACACTGACAATGATATTGGGAGCTCCAACTGTTACAACGAAGCTTCGCGATGCTCCAATCATCTTAACCACTGACAGCAGCGCACGTTTGATGCAGTTGATGAGTACGTCTGAAGCGTATTCGGTCGCTGTTTCATCGCCTGCGGGTTGAAATTCGCAGGCATGAATTCAGGGACCATTCTCTTACGCCACACTCTAGTAGGATCGGCCTCGCTCTCCTTGGTTGATTCAATTCGAGGGGGCTGATTCCAGCACAAACACCAGAGTCTGACCCTATTGTGCTGGACAAACGCCTTGCCCAATACCCGGTACCAGCCAGGGCGGATTCTTGATCGCCTGTTGCAGCATGCAAAGATAAAACAGATTATGACGCAACAGGAAACTTCTCGTAGAGCAATAGTTTGGCGAAATTATGTAGCGCAAATAATAATGAACCGTTCTTAGGGGCATCTAATATGTGGTGTTGTGAGTGAGTGGGACTGCATTTTCATTCTTCGTTTCTCACCGAAGATCTATACAATGCCTCCGCCATAGCCACGGTCGGGTGCATACATATCTGGGTAATCTCGACTACTGCCATGACGTCTCTTGATGAGTGATGGTCCCTCCTTTTTCAAATCAGCCACCGTCGGTGTTCCCAAAAGACCCATGGCTCGGTCCAGTTCAACCTTCAGGATTTCGTAGGCCTTGATGACTCCATCCGTTCCGCCAGCAGCAAGACCCCACAAGTATGGTTTGCCAACACCGACAGAGTCGGCACCAAGTGCCAGAGCTTTGGCAATATCTGTTCCACGCTGGACACCTCCATCCATGATGATTTCCACATCCGGTCCAACAGCCTCGCGAATCGATGGCAAGACGTCAATTGTTGCGGGGGATGTTTCCAGTTGCCGTGCTCCGTGATTGGACACCCAGATACTGGAGAAACCAATTTCAAGTGCTTTCAAAGCATCTTCAGGGCGGACAACACCCTTGGGAGCCGCTGGGCCGTTCCATTCTCCAAGCAACCACTCCGCGTCTTTCCAGCTGAATTCAGGCATAATTTGACTATTCACGAAAGCTGCCAGAGAATCGGCCGGGACATCCGTATTGATGCATGCGTAGGTGTAGGGCTCGTGGGAGAGGAAATCGTAGGTCCATGCGGGTTTCTTGATGGCTTCTATCATTTGTGGCACGGTGTATTTTGGAGGGATGGAAAAGTCATTGCGAATATCACGCTCACGGTTACCGTACCATGTAAAGTCGACTGTCAGAGCCAGGGCATTGAATCCTCCCTCCTTTGCCTTTGCAAGCACTTCCTTCACAAGTTCGCGGTCTTTCCATACGTACAGCTGAAATACCTTGGGGCCATCAAAAAGTTCGCCAATTTCGGTAATTCCAGTAGTTGCCAAAGAAGACAAACCATACAGAGTTCCATGGTGCTTGGCTGCCTTGGCAGCCGCCGTTTCACCCTCCCAGTGGAACATTCTATTACCAGCAGTGGGGCATCCAAAGAATGGCAAGCTCACATCACAGCCAAAAATCTTTGTTGACATATCCAGAGGTGGTTTGATTCCGGCTAGAATTTTGTAGTGCATTTCTAGCTCTGAATAAGCATCTTTACCGCGACGCAGACTGATTTCATCATCGGCACCAGAATCCAAGTAGTCAAAAACCATCTGTGAGGGAATGATAGGTACATGAGTTAGAATGCCAATATAAGTGATTGTCAACGCCAATCAACGCAACCCATTGGGTGTGCATAGATATCTCTCCCAACTCACCTTGTGAGCTCTGGCTTTGGCAATCAGTCTCAGATCAGCAATATTGACTGCCCTTGCCAGGCGTCTCTTGTAAGGAGCATCAAACAAAGCATTGAGAGGGATATGCTGAAGCACCTTGTGCACCCCCAACTTGTGTGGATTGAAAAGCATGGTTAATTATTTCAGACTTTGCTGGTACAATGACAACAAGCGAGCACTAGTAGCAGTCTCTTCAAAATATGACTGCTATCAACGCAAAATGGAACTAGGAATACCCAACCTGAGGTAATGCCAACGTATTTTATGCAAGTCTTTTTGCTTTCCACTCTTCCTGGCTGATGTGTGCTTTGCGTCGGCTTCCCAGCTTTCTTCATATCGGTTGCAATGCGGGTATCTTTTCCTTGCTTCAGCTACAACCATTGATGATGTTGGCTTGGTGGTGCGTACGTCATCGTGATGAAAATGTGAGCAATTGCAAGATCGTAGCCTCCAGTATAACTTCCTACGAATACATGATGTTACACTGTATTTCGATGACGTGTTCGATAAGGCATTATCTGATTGATACTGTTAAAGCTTTGAGTCTATTTGTGTTTCCTCGACTGCTGACAATGTGCTGACATCCGACTGACAGTCGCAGTGCAGGTCGTGCTGACGGCCGAATCTCCCGAGCTACCGGCACATGAGATAGCTTGCTTTGATGGCAAGGAAACTACCAGGTACTCAAAATTGGGCTGGTTTTCTAGGAGGCTGTGGTCTCAGCTAGCTCGACGAGACAACCGAGGAATCCCGAGCAGCGGATGCGCAGAGAAGTGTGATGGACGAATCATTGAATGTGAAAATCTGCGGGTATCTGCCTTTTCCGGAATGCTGGATTCGATTCAAGCCCACCAATTCTATTAAAACAAGGACTTTTGAGAGCTCAGCTCGGTCGATTGCAGCTCTCGCCATGGAAGAACTCTAGAGGCAAGCAACTTTTTAAAAGACTATGTACCGTTTGCACCCACTCACCGTTGATACCCAGCCGACTTCCCCAGGATGCGAATGATATTGAGTTTGTCTGCCACTTACCCAACCGAGGAATCCATCCAGGATGGCCAAGCCTAGCTTCTTACCAAAGGGTTGGAACGGCATCAGGTGGAATAGAACTCACGCTCCTCCATTGGGAAGGTGGTAACCGTGGTGCGACAGCGTGGAAACGTTAGTCATGACTGTTTTAGGCTTCCGGTCACTAACTCCATCCAAGAAGATCTCTCGCAAGCGAGAAACCAGCCAATAGAGAGGACACATTTGCATGTGAAGCAACAAGAACAACTCTCGCTCCTTGCTTGCTCATACAACGGTATCCATACCTGCATCCATCAACCAGCTAGCTAGATAGATAGATATTCCAAGATGTCGTCAGGTCAAGTAGATATAGTCAAACAGTGCATTGGAGACACGGTGAATATCCAGGAAAATGCTGCCGACTTTAGTGTCTTTCGTCCTGTCTTGAGGCATCAAGAACGAACCAATGGTCACCACCACAACGGCAATTCTGGCACCCAGTACCTCTACATGACGCCTGAATCAGATCGACAATCAGGAACGGATGAGGAGTGTAGGAAACAGGGTGGAATGGCCGTCACGTTTTCCACCACAACGGCTGTTCACGATGATGATCCCGTATTAAGGTGCCACAGAACGGGAGGACACAGCAACCATGCCAGCGTCTTGGTGTCCCTGAACAGTGTCTTTGATTGCTTTGCTGCTTCAGAGGCTTGTGAAGAGGTATCTATGGATCCCAACATGGCAGCGGCAGTCTTTTTGGGGGTGTCCTATGAGTGGCAGTGCTCGGTAGTACCAGCCTCTCCAGAAATGGATCTCCCATTGCTAGAACCTCCCAGTCCAGCCGAAGCCGATTTTGATGCGAAGCTCTACCAGGAAATTGAATTGTGCAGGAGTCAAACGGAAAATTTTCGAATCAGCGCGGCAGCTATTTTGGAACAGGCCAGTCTGGAATATACCGCTCATTTAGAGACCATCAAACCAGAAGTACACGAAGAACCCCAGATTACAACCGTGCAATTCCCCGATCCTTCTGTGCAGACATACACTCCCGTTTGCGAACAAGCCGGGGGTCAAATGGTGGGGGTAGACAGTGTCATTTTGGAATGTACGCAGATCCGAAGTGGCAAGGTTAGCATCACACATTACCGAAACTACTTTTTGTGCCAACCCCAATCATCAACTTCATCCTGCACGCCCGAATTGATGCCATGTGATTTACGACACAAGGGAGAACTTTTTCAATCATCTTGCACTATTCGATCGGGAGATGATAGCCACCAATGCACGTACACAGGTAGTAGTGCCGACGAGGAAGAAGTGAAGGAGGAAGAACCAACACACACGACCAGTAGCGAAGCAGAACCCGCAGAACCCACGGAAGCAGTCAGCGAAAGTGAGACTGAAGAACCCCCCGAAACAACAGAGCAAGAATCAGAAGAAGCACCGCCACAAGACGAGTCAGAAAAAACACAAGGTTCGGAAGAGCCGTCTGAAGAGGTGGAACAACCGTCGGAAGAATCAGAAGAGCCGGCGGAAGAAAGTGGGGCTGCGAGTGAGGCCGCAGAACCGACAGACAGCAATCCAGAACCAACCGAAAGTAGTAGCAACATTGAGGCGGAGGAACAGTCTGAACAAGAGTCTGAACCAGAAGAGGAAACTCCACCGGATGTCGACTCACCAGAATCTGCTGCGGCTGAAGCCGTCCCATCACCATCCAAAACAGAATCCACGAGTGTTCCAGAGCTTCAATCCGGTGAGTCGTCGTCATCAACATCATCCAGTAGTAGAGCCTTATCCAAGGATCAAATTGTGAACCCCAAAGTCGAGTCACTGGAACAAATCGAACTCAAAACCAATCACACTCTGACACTGTCTGAAATCAATCAATCGTTTTTAGAGACAGAAACCCAAGAACATCATCAGGTGGAGGCGTTCATGGGCGCCATTGTGGTTTTGGTTCTGGTAGCGCTGTTGGCCTTGTATTGCTGCATTCGACGGTGTAAGCGCAAGCGACTGGCAAAGAACATGTCGCGACGAGCTTACGAACTTACAGCGTTGGATTTGGGATCCAGCGATCATCGAGATGACGATGACAACCCGTACACTGACACCCGCGGCGGTTTGCCTTCGTTGACATAGTACTGACACAGAACGGTTCGATAAAATGCCAATCATTTATTTGTGACGGGGTAAGATTCGTGAAAGCATAATCGTCACGTAGCCCACAACGAATAGGCTTTATTTTAGTTGTCAGGAAACACAACGTTGCCGATGTCGAAACTGGCACCCGCAAAAGTTGGACACGATCCCCCATTGTTCCTCCATGTTTGGTCGGGGACTTGGAACGATGAAGGAAGACGTCGTTTCAAAGTACGAAAGCTCCTCCGGTGAATGGATGCTACGATTCTACACAGTTCAACCGAAAGGTGCTATTTGTTTTTGTATATGACTATCGAAGTTTTTGTAAGTTAAATGTTTCTATTGTAAATCCGGTGTGGTTGCATTGCGGTTGTCAGGAATATCAGTTTTGTTTCTTGCGAGGGCTGATGGCACCTTTGAAAGCTTGTAGTTATCTCGAACCAGCTTTCGTTTCTGGATGTCCTGAGAGTCAATTGTGAATTGAGCATTCCATAGATCGTGCTGAAAACTGCGAGCCGTCATATACCATCCAGTGGCCTGGAGCTCTAGAAACTGGAAGTGTTCCTTCAAGTAATGGTCTTCTGCAATCAGATGCTGGTTCTTTATCGTCGCACTCTCAAGCTCCACCTTCAAGCTCTCAGAATCATGGACGTTCTTGACATCTGGATGGGTAGCGATCTGAAAGGCATCTTGCGCTGCATCTTGACTGGCGACGCCGCCACCTGTCTTGGAACGGTGATCATAAATACCGGTATTTGCAGGGCTAGAGGGATCCCAAGGCCATCGTCATTGAGCGTAGTATCGAGTTGGACTGGTGTCTCGAGAAGCGCAGTTGTCATGGTTTCGGGGATGACAGCAGGGCTAGAGGGATCCGCAAGGCCATCGTCATTGAGCGTAGTATCGAGTTGGACTGGTGTCTCGAGAAGCGCGGTTGTCATGGTTCCGGGGATGACCAAAGAGAGGAGGGGAGAGTTGATACGGAATAATGTGGTTTCGTTGATACCGGTACGCCAATACAAACTATGAAACTCAGCTTTTTTGGGGGGTGGGGGAGGCGGGGGGAGAGGGGGAAAATGATGGAATGATTTATTTGATGTCCTCTCATTAAAATGTTTGAGTTTTGAAACGACGATGAAAAGAAATTGTCAAGGTGCAATCATTCTGTTTCAAAATCCTGGTTGGTGAGAAGATATTGGAAAATGGAGACCACAGGTTACAGTCTACTCGCGCTAATATTACTTATTTAATATTACTTCTCGCTGTTATATTACGTGATTCTTCGGATCCCCCCCAGTCCCGCATATCCGTGAATGACGAATGACGTCAGTACCCTCGCAAATCTCGTAGCAGCAAAACAATCGCTCGCAATCCATCGCAAACCATCCAACTCGACAGAGACATACATGAAAATGCCAATGCATGCCGATAAGGTGCCAATAAGAGGCCAACCGGAGCCCCGCACCTCTCCTTGCCTGTCCGATTCTCTGCCAGTCCGCGCAAATCTTCGTACGTGGGGTTTTTCATGGTGTTTTCGCGAGATTTGCGCAGAATGGCAGAGAGGAGACAAAAACAATTCTCTCAGCAACAAAACAAGTGCAAGCAAACCATACCAATCCCTCCAATCCGACTAGACCAACATGAACGGCACCGTGACGGCTCTATCCATTCGTACTTTACTAGTGGAACCGGCCCTTGAAAAGCCTAATATTACTTCTCTCTATTATATTACCCGAAGTCCGAAATCCCCCCCAAGTAATATTAGAGCGAGTTGACTGTACTCGGCATTCTGTCTGTTTGCCTTTTGGCGATAAGGTGATCCTTTGACTTATGGAAATGTCTACAGACCATTGAAAAGATTTAAGACATTAGGAGACATTAGGAGACAAAGTGATACATTGGTAGACATTAGTATACAAAGTGATACATTAGTAGACAAAATGAGACATTGTGAGACATTGATAGACAAAGTGAGACATTGTGAGACATTTTTGTACTGTTTTACAGTACCTTGTAGACATTAGTAGACAAAGTGATACATTGGTAGACATTACTCCAGTAGTATACAAAGTGATACATTGGTAGACAAAGTGAGACATTGTGATACATTGGTGGACAAAGTGAGACATTGTGAGACATAAGCCACTTTTTCTAAGGAGCATAGAACATTTAAGCAACTCTGTAATCAGACACAATAGCTTAAATAGACAAAATGCCGAGTAACCCAGAGGGTGAGAAGCTCCTTGCTTTTCAATCTACTTATCGTTGAGCGACTGATTCGATTCGATTCTCATTCAAGGTCTTCAATGTTCCCATCAACAAAACCGCAGGAGCGTTCCTCAACCGACCCTATTATTTGGGACGGATTTAGGGACGGGTTCCCTTTAGGGTCGGGTTTGAAAACCGACCCTAAAAATAGGGACGGTTTCTGAAAAATAGGGACGGTTTCTGAAAAAACGTCCCTAATTTAGGGACGGGTTTCGATTTAGGGTCGGGTTTGAAAAACCTCCCTAAATGGAACCGGGACTGAGTGGTAAATACATTGAAAACGCACCAATATTAGGGTCGGGTTTGAAAACCGACCCAAAAAATAGGGACGGTTTCTGAAAAATAGGGACGGTTTCTGAAAAAACGTCTCTAATTTAGGGACGGGTTTCGATTTAGGGTCGGGTTTCGAAACCGACCCTAAATCAGTCGGATTTAGGGTCGAGTTTCCCCAAACCGACCCTAAAATTAGGGTCGGATTTAAAGGACATGCACGATTGAGGAACGCTCCAGAAGAGGCAAACGAGTT